GGTAGTTATTGTTAATATTATACATTTAAACTATAATAATATATATATAATATTTGTACAAAATATGGATAAATTATAGATAATTTATACCTGGATATATCAAAAATCATAAAAATTTAGTAGCTGACGTCATATAACTTATCTAAAAGTCAACCAAGAAATATTTCAGATAAAATTATTAGGACTTTTGTGTATTTTGATAAATAATTCTAATTCATAATACTATACACATACCAATCCAAAAACAACCTAACTGCTACTATTTTGACCACCACTTTACCATAAATATTTGCATGCATTACATTTTTTATGTCGCCTATAAAAAAATTTACTCGTTCTACCAAAATATTTGTCGTTACCTTTTACAAGTATTATTAGCAAAAGATTTTCAAGCATTCTTTTCTTTTAATTAGGGTAATAAATCAATTATTCCAATTAATTTGACAGAGTTTGTTATTTGAGTAGGGTTATTCTTCTTCTCTAAACACTCTCTACATCTCAGTTTGTATATGTGTATATCTATATTTATGTAAAATATGTAAATAATTTTTTTCTTATTTTGCAGCCTGAATATTGATTATATCTATATATATGTACATATAATATAATTTTGTTTTGTTTTTTGTATATGAGTAATTAAAATTTCAGGTTGTGGGGTTGTAAATATACTTTGCATTCTTAGACAATGTTTGGGTTTTGTTATTGTTGTTTTTGATGGGTCTTGAAATAATTTGTGCAACTTAAGACATTTTTTTACTTTTTTATTAATTGGTGATATCCTTTACATTTTTTGTTATAAATATGTATACTATTTTTTGTTATTTTATTATGTAAGTTAATTGAGTTGTTAATTTAATCGCTTTATTATTCATCAAGAAATAAAATTTTGTTTTACATATCGATACCATATATTCAAAAAGTGCTAAATCAATAAAGTCTAGTTTTCAGGAAAGCAAAAAAACTATTTAATTCGTGAAATATTACACTAAAAGACAATATTTCTTCCATAATACGTTTTTAACATCCTTACTAATTCTTACCTATGAACAAATTTTAATATTTTGCACATTTTAGCGACTTATTTAAGATAGCACTTTTTGGTCGACAAAAAAAAAAAAAACAAATATTTGTTCTAAGTTAGCATGTTTTGTTCAAAGAATAGAACAAAAATTTCTTCTAATAATATGCGTTATTTTATAATTTTATGAAATGTTTTTATACTCTTCACCTTCGTGAGAAGGGTATATATAAGTTTGTCATTCCGTTTGTAATTTCTATAATATAATTTTCCGACCCCATAAAGTACATATATTCTGGATCCTTATAGGTAGCGGAGTTGATTAAGCTGTGTCCGTCTGTCTGTCTGTCTGTCTGTCTGTCTGTCTGTCTGTCAGTCTGTCAGTCTGTCAGTCTGTCAGTCTGTCAGTCTGTCAGTCTGTCCGTCTGTCCGTCTGTGTGTTTGTTGAAATCAGTTTTTAGAGGACCCCAGATATCGGCGAGATCCGAATCTTCAATAATTCTGTTAGACATGCTTTCGAGAAGATCGCTATTTAAAATCAGCAAAATCGGTCCATAAATACCGGAGATATGAGCAAAAATCCGAGACAACCTCTGAAGATTTCATAAAAAAAACAATATTTTTTATGCTTTGATATAAGCAACAACAACAACACTGCTTATTCATTGAGTATTTCGTTTCATATGTTTGGATGGCTGTGTGTTTCATTGCCTTATGTATATTGTTTTTGTTTCTTGGTGCATTCAGTTTCGTATGTTTGGATGTCTGTTGGTTTCATTGCGTTGTGTATTTTTATTTCGTTTAGCGTTGTTGTTGTTTTGCTATTTTCTATTGCTATAATAATAATATAAACGGGAAAATGAAATAAATTAAAATTTTATAGAATTGATATTTTTTAAATACACTGTGGTGAAGGGTATATAAGATTCGGCACAGCCGAATATAGCACTCTTACTTGTCATATTTAAAATCGTTTATTTTTGGTATGTGATCGGAATTTTTTGGTCCAATTAAAAAAAAAACGTTATTTGAAAGTTACATCCGATGTTAAAAATAATGGACCTGGGTATGGAAAACTTTTATAAATAAGTGCTTGATAAAAACATAAACGTTTTTTCATCTTCAAGATCAAAATCGCAACAAAACGTTAAAAAAATATTTTAATTGTTTCCCTAATTTGGCTTATACTTAATATTTGTAATAACAATAAATCATTGACACGTATACGTACAGGTGTCGCTAATAAAAACATAGCAATTTCAAAATGTAAAACTTTCCACTTAAAATATAAAGATTAAGATGAAGTTATTTGGTTTATATGTTCACAATTTGTATTCTTTATGACGAGAACAACTTTGTCTCAGAGAGAAAATCAAACGGTTTGCAAGATATTAACCTGATCACTTTTTTGCAAAAATGACACCACATAAAAAGTGCATGACTTTGGGCAACACAGGGAGGTTCTTTTATCACGTAGTGGTGTCCGTATATGGTTATATTTTCAGGACATAAAAAAATACACACAGTGTAACACCATAAACTGTTATACTTGTATTAGTAAGAATTATACACTTGCCAAATGTATGCTGTTCTGTTATATAACTAAAAAAAATATGCCATAAAATATCTAAAATATAACAAAGAAGTCTTGAATCAAAAAAATACTGGGAAATTGTATACATAACATACATATACTTTAGAAAAAAATAACAAACTTCTTGAAGTGGTGAAAAGTGGTAAGTTTTCTAGATACATTCCTTTCAAGATAACCACAATAATAGACAAATTTTTATGAATTAAAATATATGCATAAATTTACAATTTTATCAACTAAATACTCTTGGCGTTTGGAATTTAACCTTTAAAACATTACTTTACTTTATGTTCTAGAGTAACTTTTTAGTCGAGTGCTTAAGTCTCAAATCTAATTGACATTTTATATGTGTACTGTGTGCGCCAGTATACGTATAGAATTTTTTATGTATATTTCTATTTTTCTGGTGTCTTTTTCAATAAATCCTATAGGGAATTGCATTATTTTCACATTATGTTTATTATTTTTACTTTTTTTTTATGTGGCTTTAGTTAAATACGTTTTGGCGCTTTATATGCGGTGTGCTATGGCACGGTGATGTGTTGTTTATAAAAAGGGGCATGCCACATTAAAACGAAGAAGAAGAAGCACATGTATAAAATTATGCCAGTAACCAAACAATCAACCATACAATATAGGAATAGAAATAAAAATCTAGAAATGTTTTCAGGCCTTGTGTGTTGGAAATGAAAATAAATGCGAATTTTCGAGCTATGAATGTGTTTGGTTATGCACATACGACGGAGGTATTTAAAAGGTATTTAGAAAAGTTAAAGATCTGCAAGGATTTCTGCTTGTTTGAAACATTCATTATAAAAATGTTTGAGAAAGGAGATGAGAAGTAACAATAAAAATTTAATACCCTTTTAAGCAACAAAAAATTTTTGAATTATTAAAAAAATATTATAAATTATCTAGAAATTGTAGACAGTAAACACTTAAGTATTGCCCTCTTTTGGTCTCAATATTTCTTTTTTACAATTTTTAACCAGTTTTTTTTTTTTGTATTATCGGATTTGTGGTCCTAAATCTAAAAAAAATCTCATTGCTTTAAAGCAACTTCTCATATGACCACGTACTTAGAGTCAGTCTTATATCAATAATGAAATTGTAAACATTAACATACATCGAGAGACTTACACATGCACGCACGTACACATTCACATATGGTGGCGAGATAAATAAACGAAGTAAAAATAAAAATATATATATATATATATTTTTTTGTTATACGTTCGTTTTTAATACCGAAGGGAATTTCACCATTTAATTTCTAAATACGAGGTCCTTATACATGTGTATGTGTGTAAGTGTGTTAAGGCGGTTAAATAGAAAAATTCAATAGTCTCTTGTTTTGTTAGCGTTAGCCTTATTGTTGCTACTGAACTCTTGTTGTTATCGTTGTTGTAGTTGTTGTACAAAAGGGTGGATTCGGCGCATTAAATGAAATCGATTTAATGCAAAAAAGGATTTAAATTACAAAAGGCCAAAAGCAACAGCAACAACTACAGACAAACATTCGCAGCAACAAAGAAACGAACACACGAACAACAATACAAAAGCAGAGCAGATGGCAGCGTAGATAACGTTGTTGATAACGGAAATTTTGTCAGAAGAGAAAGAGCAAATGAAAACAGATAACGGTAAAAACGTTGAACGTAAATGAGAACCAACTATAAAGAGTGTTTTCAACACAATAACGACTATATCTTATGATTTACAAACAGGACAAGACAGGAAAACGCTTGTTGCTGCATTTATTCAACACTTTTCGAAATTTTGAAAAATTATGTTGAATTTTTTCAATGTGTTGAGTTTCTTATATCTAAAGAGTATTTTACGCACATGAAGTTGTAATGGTTTATTGTGTTTCCTTCATAAAATAACACTCACTGAAAACAAATGAGTTGTTGCTGTTATCCCTATCAAAGAGTTGTTGATATTCTACTCCACATAACGTTAGAGCATCATCATCATTATCACGAAGGAATAAATAAACGAACAAAGAAAAACTACAACTCTATAGAGAAAAAATAAATAACACAAAGAGCATTTATACGTATGAGTGTTTAGGGAAACTTTCAACGTCAACTGCATCAGAGTTTGTGAAACTGTAAAATCGTACTCGGAAAATAAACACACAACATGTTTCGTTCAGCTGTCTACTACACACTCACTTATACATTCATACAAAAATTCCTACATTTTTCGTAACGTATATTTTTTCACTTCACAATACGTAGTTTTCCCTCTATGTGGCATTTTCACAATATTATTTTTCTGTTGTGTGTTTTATTTGATTTTCTTGCGTTTCGTTCTATGTATTTTTTTTTCCTTTTTTGATGATTTTAAAGCGAATGCATGAGTTTTTCAGTAAGAAAAGCGTCTCCTAACGGTTTAGTACGTACGCTTTGCGTTTTTTTTAGTATCAAAGAGTGTCGTTTATTTAATTTCGTAGGGATTCTTGTTGTATGCGAATTCGTTACTTTATTTTAACGTCTATTTTGAAAAGCGTAATAAAGTACTGGCGTGATTTTATTATTGTTGTAGTGTGCTCGTAAAAGTTTTGCGTGTGTGTGCGAAAAATGTTTTAATGAAACAAATAATAAAAATAATTCTAAATAAAATAAGGTTGGAATTTTTTAAAAGTTGTTTATGAAATAATTTGGAAATTTTAGAATTTTCTAAAGAATTTCCACAAAAAAAAACTTTTTGTTTCAGTGATTTTTTTTTGTTGGTTTGGTAAACTTGTTAGAGTTGTTGTCATTATGCATATATTAAAAAATTCACAATATATACATATTTTTAATAAAAATATTTATTTTTTATAATATTTTAAGTATTTGATAATTCATATCACACTGATTTAGTTGAGTTTACAAAAAAATTATGATATTTAGTCACTAATTTTAAATATTTTCTATAATATTTTAAAATTGTATATCATACAGAATTAATTTTTTGAATTCAACAAATTGTGTGCCCCCAATACTTGTACAATAAATAGTAAGTTCTAAATATAATGTTTGTTTTATGTTTGTATTGCTGGTCCGTGAATTACATTTTAAATATTTTTAAAATTTATAATTTTTATTAAAAAAAAAAAAAAAAAATAAAGATTTTAGTAACAAATCACTTAAAAAGTTTTTTATTGTTATTTTATTGAAGTATTATAGGGTTTTTATTTTCAATAGAAATTAAATTTATATGATTTGACTTTTTCAAAAAAATATTTATCAAAGAGGTTTTGTACCTTACCCTTTCCGATTATAATGAAACTTGGTACGCACATTCTTTGTATAAATACGAAGATTAGAGTTCTCCAAAATTTCCAAATTCATTACGATTTAGCTTTAATTGAGGTTAAAAGTTCACATTTTTTAAGATTTTTTTCAACAAGCATTAAATTTTATATCTTAGATATAGGCCTAATGAAGGCCTATGTCTTTTAGTTTGATCATATTTTAATTAAAATATTATAGTTTTAACATAAGGATAATGATATCGAAAACGCCTTTCAGTTATGAACATATTAAAAAGGGTATCTTCCATTTTCATTATTCCTTCACCAAAAAAGCTTATAGTGTTTTCAATAAAACATAAAAATTTCAGAATGGGACAATGTGAACATTTCAAATAAATAAACTTTTGGTAAAAAAAACCCACATCATTTCCATACAAATTTCAAAAATTATAATTTTATTTCCTGATAAGCTCAATAAAAGTCTGAAAAATTCCAAACAAAGAATAAATAATTTATTAACAAAAACTTATAAATTTTTAAATTTGTATGGAAATGATGTGAGTACTTTTAATAAAAGATGATTTTCTTGAGATTCCCTCATTGTTCCCACTCTGAGTTTTTTATATTTCTCTCATGACATTATAAGCTACTTTTGGTGAAGGAATACAAAAATGGAAAGTAGCTATTTTGAGATATCTTTCAATCAACAACATTTTTGAATATTATTATCCTTGTATTGAAATTATAATATTTTAATAATAGTAATATTAAACTGTAAGATATAGGCTTTATTTATAGACTAAAACTATTAAAATCGGTTAGATAGTTTAGAAAATATATGATGTCAAATTTAATGCTTGTTGAAAAAAGTCTTAAAAGTATGAATTTTAAATCTCGATAAAATCTAAACCATAATGAATTTTGGAGAACTTTAAATTTTTTATATACACGAGGAAAATGCGTATCAAATTTCATAGAAATCGGAAGGGGTCAAGTTCAATATCCAATTTTTTAGTTCGAAATTTTTTGAAATTATCCAAAGTTAAAGAATTAATATAAAATAACAATAATAATCATAAATCAAATATCACAATAGAAAGAAAAAAATCAAATACCATAATTAAAAAAAAATTGTTTACCAGTTAAACCCTCTAACATCACTTTGAACTTAGTTAAACATTTCATTACATTTGTAATTAATTCAATTATGGTATTAATTGGCTTTTCACATTTTTCCCCTTACTTTTCTTCTTATGATTTTTTGTTTTGATATAAATTTAAAATTTGTTTCAATAAGCTATTTGCAACAAGTGAGAATACAGCTGCGCCTAATCTTAAAATAGTGTATTTTAAAGAAATGTTAGTTTGTTTTAAATATATTTTTTAAATATTCTTATTATTTTTATTGTTTTAAAATTTAATTTTTTTTTTTTAATTTAAAAAAATCTAATTTTATTAAATAATTCTTTCCATCCTTTATGGTAATCGTTAACCGTTACAAATCTTATATAACACCCTGTAACAATTTTGAAAAAAAAAAAACTTGCACACACAGAAAAGTTGATATGCATGTGAAACAAGAGTTCATTTATAGCAATTCTGCATACTCCGACTTTTATAATCAGCTCTTATGTCCTTGTAAAAGGACTTCAAAATTTTTAAGGACTTACAATTTCAAACGGATATTTTAAATATTTATATGTGTTGTATGATGCTAATATTGTTATCAAATGAAAGCTGGGAATCTGTACATTCCACCTTTGAACTAACAAAATATTAATTATTAAAAACAATATATTTTTGTTCAATTTTTAAACCGTGATTACCTTTATATGCGTCAGTTATGAACAGATACTCATAAAATTTTGTACATAGATTTCGTTTTGTATAGAACTTGTTTATGTCACTCGTATTTTAAACAAGGAAAACTTTATTTAACCCTTTCCTGAAGGGAACCTTTTATAGGGGCTATGGTCAGTTATAGATCAGTCCTCATTAAATTCGGAATGAAGAATTATGTTATTTAGTATATACATTTTATGTCAATTTTCATCGTTGTACTAGTAATTTTCTGAATCCTCCCCATCAAATTTTCTAAAGAGGACCTTATATGGTGCGTAGGGTCAATTATGGACCGATCCTCAAAAAATTTGGTTGAAAGATTTTGGCTCATATGAAACTTACTTATACCGAATTTCATCCCTATACTCGTACTTCTAAAACAGTTATGCCCGTTAAAGCTGTTTTTTGGAGGTCCACTTGTATGGGGGCTACCCGAGAACAAACCTTATCAATAAAGAATATTTATGTAAAATTTCAACCATCTAGCTTCTCCCATGTGGGCCCTATCGTGATTTCAACAGACGGACAGACAGACAGACGGACGGACATGGCTAGATCGTCTTAGAATTTAATAACGACCCAGAATATATATACTTTTATGGGTCTACGACTAATATTTCGATGTGCTACAAACGGAATGACCATCTTTTTTGATGGTGGGTATAAAAAGGTCTCATTTTCGAAACAAAAATTGTTAACTACTTTTTTGGTACAAATTTTCTTTAAGCTTCCATTTCCTTTTTAATCCTGTTGAATTGAAATAAATAATTTTATTTTAAATCAAAGGTTCTCAGCTTCATTTGATATTAATATTAATACCAACTTTTTTATATAAATTTGAAGTCGTATGTCCTTTAAACTTTAAGGTCCTTTTACAGGGCAATAAGTTCTGATTATGAAAAACTGTGTACACAGAGTTAATACCAATGGTCCACAGTTTCCTGTACAGATAGATTTTTTCGTGTGTGAAAATGAGTGCTGCAAGGTGTAATAAAATCTAAACGACATAAGCTATATGCTTTTATTATCAGATGTGCTTTGTCTTTGTATGAAACAACTACCCTGGTGTGCAAAAATTACCAAGCATACCTGACCATACCATTTTCCTTTATATCTTCTTCCTTTTTTGTAATATCTCTTGATATTGATGATACTGCACCAAGTCAAAAAATGTAGTTTCATTTAAAATTTCGATATGCTGAGAGCAGTTCTTGAAGTTTGTATTTATAAAAAAAAAAAAATACAAACAAATACAATCCAATAATTATGTACTTAATTAAGCTTTATTTTACATACTTCATCGACCTTCTTAAGTTTACATATTTGTGGACATTAAAAGATTTTATTTTTTAAGATTCCAATCTAACTTTGGAACCTCTTTCGCAAATTTCCTTGATGTTATATACAACTAACGATGCGAGATTACAAGTCTGTATCCAGCCCTCATTGACAGTATTGAATAAATATCTTATCAAATATTATGAAAAAAGAAAATTAAAATTTTATAAAGTTAAAGCGATAGGTGTAGTTTGATCCTTATATCGATTTGTCTATATATCAATAATTCAATCAGACATGCTTCTCTAAGTTAGCTATTTAAAACCACCAAAATTGGTCCATATATAAAGTAGAAACGAGCATAATTCCAAAAAATCTGTAATTTTAATTTTATTATTTTTTTATAGTTTTCTGGATATGATGTGAATTTTATATATTGAAAGTTATGTATTATTATTGATATACATAATGCCTGAAAAAAATAATGTGTTTAAAATATATAAAAATATGTGTTTTTGTACAATAAAAAAAATAAAATTATATCTTGAATTTTTTATTTCCGGTTTAAATTAAAAATATAACGTATTTAGTTTGAACTTATGTATTTTAATTTAAATTTTTGCAAATTGTTTTCTATTAAGTACTGTTAAAGAATTTTGTAAAAATTTTAGTAAAAGGATTAAATTTTTAAAGTAGTATTGTTCAAATGCTTTGCATTTCAAAAACCTTAAATATTTATTTATATCATAAGTACTTTTTACAAACAAATGTATTTTAAAAAGTAGAAATACAATATATTTTGTAATATTCCTTACAAAATACCACAATTTCATTAAAACTCAGCATTAAATATTTTAGAAATTTTAAATTAAGAAATTTATTTTTATAAAAGCCAACAACTTTAAATACCGCATTCAACAATTTTCTTTTAATGTTTGAAAATCTAAATGGCTAAACATGAAATAAAATTACCAACAGTAAAACGCAAAGATGAAGTAATTGATGTTAATAATTTAATTATAATCACTTTTAATTTTTCATTCATTTCCATTTAAAAGCTTAAAACCACAGGCAAGAAATAAACTCTAAAAGGTTTTCATTTATACTCGAGAGAGGGCAAGGGAAAACACACAAAATTTAAGAAGAAAAAAAAATATATTACCATTTAAATTTGGGTCAACATTCATTTTTGTTTTGGCGTTGCTGTTAATGTGCAAACATTTGTTTTAAATATTACAAATTGATAAAGATTTTTTAGTTACGATTT